GCTTGTGCAATAGGATTCAGTCGCTCAGACGAGCACGGCATGGGAGGCGCAACCTTGCAATTGGCGGTGAGCCACACATTCAACATGGGCACCGATGCGGTGAATCCATCAACATGTTGAGACGTGGTGCAGGAAAGACACGAAAACTCTGATCAAGAGGCGTTCCAGACGGTATTTGAGATAAGTCGACGACAAAATCATCGAGTGGTACCCAGCATAGGTTACTGTAGGTAGGTAGCAGCTCACGTGCAACCCCGGAATCCGCCCAGATATTCCGACAGGTCCAGGACATGGCGATGACGCACAAAGCCGGCCATGGGAGGCGCACAGGCACGCGGCGCAAAACTGGAGGGGCCGTCGTGTCGCTCAGCCTGCGAGATGAAGCGGCTGGATACGAATTGCATGCGCAGCACAATTTGACTGTGCACGGCGGCCTGAGAATTATGAAGAGTCGCAGCAATTGAGCACGACGCCATGGAGGTTTCGTCATTGCACATGCTCGCCGTCGGTCCCGCGTGTTCCAGGGCTCGCGCGATGAACGGCATCCCGCCAAGCTTTCCTGCAGCTGGCGGCGCCGTCTCTAATCTTGCAGACTCAGCGCCTTGTCGCGACCAGACCGCCAGCCTCGCCAATTCCGCATCTACAAGGCATATCCGTCGCGCTCCTGACTCTGTGTTTGTGTCTGCATTGAAATCGCTGCTGTTTGTCGCGCGAAAACAGTCGCAAGCTCCATCTTCCCCAAACCGTCCGAGCGCGCACTCAAGCCGCAAACTAGCTCGCTCCACCCGACGCAGCTCCTGATCCTGACTTACCAACCACCTCCACACCTCTCCTCCCTGCGCCCAAGACAGGTCTTACTCCCTCCTCCCAACTCTGCAATCCCTGATCCACGTCCATCGCTGCGCTGATATGGGCAAATATACTTTCACCTGGTACGTTCGCGCCTGCCTCACGCCCGCTTAGGCACCTTCCGTGCCCAACTGCTTACACGCGCACAGGGAACACTCGGCCAATGAGGTCTACGTGACTGGCACCTTCGATGACTGGAGGAAGACGGTCAAGCTCGAGAACGAGGATGGCATCTTCAAGAAGACGGTCGAGCTGCCCAAAACCCACACCCAGTACAAGGTGCGCACCTCCCCCGTCGCATACCGTCGGCTTCCCCGTTTGCGCAGACTCTGCTAACACTCTACCACAGTTCGTCGTAAACGGCAACTGGTGTACCAACGACAGCGCGCGCAAGGAAGACGACGGCCACGGCATCATCAACAACGTCCTCCTGCCCGAAGACATCGTCGACGAGGAGCCCGTCAACACCATGTCCTCTGCCGCGCCCGAGTCCACAACCGCTGCGCTAGCCGGCGCTGTGCCCAAAGAGAGTGAGAAGGACGCCAAGTCCAACTCTCCTGTACCCGGCGCCTTCCCCGAGACACCGTACGCAGAGACACCTGGCAGCGAACCACAAACCTTCAACGTCGCGCCCATTCCCGCTACCTCTGGCCTCGGCAACCCCATCAAGCTTGCGCCTGGCGAGCCCGTTCCCGAAGCGAGCACTCTCACAGACAACACCGTAGACTCGACTGTCAAGCATGACAAGGAACCCGAGCAAGAGGCTTCTGCTTTCGGTATTGCGCCCATCCCCGCTACTGCTGGCGCTGGCAACCCCATCCACCTTGCGCCTGGCGAGAAGGTGCCCGATGCCAGTACCTTGACCTCCAACACCGTCGACAGCACAGTCAAGACAGACCCCTCTTCCTACGAGAAGTCTGATGCTCTCCCTCCCCTCGCCTTCACTCCCCAGGCTGAGCGCGACGCCAAGGGTGGCATGTTCGGTATCCCACCAGTCATGGGCAACATGATCCCAGAATCGAGCCTCCCTATGGGCGCTGATGCCAAGGTCGAGGAAGACACCGGCGTTACGATCCAATCCTCTGCTCCTCACAGCACAACCGCCGATCTCGCCGCCCAAGTTCCCCTAGAGCCTCGCGGTGTCCCCGAAACTGTCACCGAAAGCCAGCAGGAGGCTCATGTCGATCCCGAGGCATCTGCCAACCCAGAGGCTGTCATGGACAAGAAGGAGATGGAGCAAGAGCTGAAGGAGACCGTCTCTGAGGCGCCCGCAGCTAGCGGAGACGCTGGTTTGAGCGACACTGCTAAAGCTGCCGCCGCCACTGCTGCCGCTGGCGCGACTGCTGGTGCGGGTCTCTTCACTGCGGCTGTCTACTCTGCCAAGGAGAAGGCTGCTGAGGCTACTGGCATGAACGAGCCCAGCACCTCCACTGCCGATGAGGTTCCGTCCATTGTTGCCGAGAGCCAGAACACAGCACATGCGGAGCCCGAGGCCGCAGCCAGCCCTGAGGCTGTTGCTGAGAAGTCCGCCATGGAACAGGAACTTCTTAGCGAGGTACCCAAGACCAACGAGACTGGTCTTCCGGCTCCCGCCATTGCCATCCCAGCCGTCGTCTCTGAGAGCCAAAAGGAGGCACACGCAAGTCCTGAAGCAGCATCCAGCCCCGAGGTTGTCGCAGAGAAGACTGCCATGGAGTCTGAGCTGTTGCGCGAGGTCCCCAAGACCAACGAGGCCGGCGAGCCAGCCCCCGCCGTTTCCGCTGCCACAGCCACTACTGCTCCTGCTGCTACTTCTGAGACCGTCTCCAGCGACGTACCCGAGGTTGTCGCTGACAGCCAACATGAGGCACACGCTAGCCCCGAAGCCGCTGCCAACAGCGAGGCCGTAGCAGAGAAGTCGGCTGTCGAGTCTGAGCTACTGGACAAGCTCCCAAGATCTGAAGAATCTGGTGAGCCTGCTCCGGTACTGACTGCTGCAACCACCGAGACCGCACCTGCTGAGACCACACCTGCTGCTGCGACTGCCGCGGGAGCTGCGGTTGCTGCGACCGCTGTTGCCAGTGCAACTGCTGCTGTCGTAGCCGGCACTACCAGGGAATCAGTCAACGAGTCCGTTGCTCGTGATGTTCCGGATGTCGTCGCCGAGAGCCAGAAGGAGGCACACGTCAGTCCCGAGGCCGCTACCAATGCTGAGGCTGTCAGCGAGAAGCGGGCTATGGAGACTGAACTTCTTCAAGAAGTGAAGTCAACTGAGGCTACCGGCGAGCCAGCTCCTAGTGCTGCTGTTGTAGGAAGCCAAAATGCTGCCGGTCTCTCCGATGAGGCCCTTGTCGACACTAAGCCACTCAAGTCCTCCAGCGAGCCCAACGCACTCAACGCGCCCGCATCGGAGCCTGCTCAGCCGCCAACCTCCAAGCCCATCGACTCTACTACCGAAGTCGCATTCAACAAGCAGGAGCCAACTACCACCGAGCAGACCCAGCCGACTGTCACCACCGGCGTAGAGACAACCAAGACCGAGGCCACTAGCTCTGCCCCAGCCGCACAGCTGGCCCCAGAGAGCCCCGCCAAGAACCTCAGGAAAGACTCAGACGTCTCTCCCAAGGGCACTCCAGGCAGCCAGAGCATCGCTTCCGGTGCTGACGATAAGAAGAAGAAGCGCCGCTCTTTCTTCGGCAAGATCAAGGACAAGCTATCCAGCAAGGACAAGAACTAGATGTTTCATCTGTCTTTTCTCGGTACTCTCAGGCCATCTTCATCCATCATGAGGGTCTTCGGAGCTTGGTAATACCCGGGGTTCATGCGCTGTGCTTTCTCACTCTTCCCCTTCATCGTTCGCCACGGAGTTTGTGCTTTTGGTCTATACCATTTTCCTTCCTGTGTCTGACATGTTCCATAGCAATCTGTTGCGTCATTTCTGTTCATATGCATCTCGAGACGTAAGAGAACGTGGGTAGACGGAAGAGATTGCACTCATAGTATACCTGGGTTGCTCGAAATAAGTTGGCCACCAACGTCGAAACGTGGGGTATTGGCATGCCAGCGGGATTGTATTTAATTTGCTAATGACGATGCGTTAGATTCGCTTCACACTAATCTCATCTCAAAACCTCGACCGCCCGTCCATTCATCATCAATTATTGACTTTCACAATGGACGAACGATCATCGATGTGGTAGCATCACTCGTCCACAGCCCGTCACTATCGAGCACATGAATTCACTATACGCGATGTTCGTATCGCACTGTGCACATACCATGGCGCCTCCCTCAGTCTATACAACTTGCCTCCCATAAACATCCATACGATTCTAACGTACCACACACAGGAACAACAACTCACAGTAACTACACTGCTCTACTACTTTAACAACGTCAAAGACTCAGTTTCGAACATATCGAAACAAAGACTAAAGTAGACACCTTCCACCAACTCAACACAACAATCACGGCCGCTCAACGCTATGTCGTTCTACGGTTTTGCTCATGGCGCCGACCGCCATGACACAGGCTGCACTCTTCAGCAGTCACCTCAACCACGCAACATTTCCCGTCACATTCGCAATCACAGCGAAGGCTCCCAATACCGACCCACGCACCATGCCAGAGTTCGCTCTCGTTATGGAGCTGCAACGGAATTAACGCAAATGATCGATGACCATGCGGCAACATGGCAATCCCTTATCGCACCTGCTCAGGACAACCGGCCAGCTAGTCAGGGCACTATGATCGTCGATTGGGATGGTAATATGAAACCGATCGTTCACTACCGAAGGAAGTCACAGGAGGAGCAGGACCTCGCGGCACTGAATAGGTCATCAGCACAGCCTCTGCCTTTGTCTATCCGACGCGGTGTCCCGAACATGGATCCAATTATGATGGCACATGAGCAGAAGCCACTGCCATCGCTACCCACCGACAGACAAACACGTCTTCACTCTCACATTCGGACATCAGAGGAAAGTGATCGCACGTCGTCGGAATCACTTTCTTCTCATAATTCTTCGCGCCACGACTCTGTCATTTCCGATGACCAGCCTTCACCCCGCCGCCGCCTCGACCTGCATGTCCGGACATCTAAGAAAGTCCCTACGACCCCAGCCCCCTCATCGTCAAAAACACCAATCTACGACCAACACACGAATATCAGAATGATAAACGGGATAGCAACCTACTTTCCCTCTCGCGTCTCACAAATCAGCGGTGTGTCTCGCCCGGGCTACGTCAAAGGCTATGACAATGACACCAAGATCCGATACGAGACCGATGGCCAGTCATTCTACGCGCACCGCAGTGCTGAGCAATTATTTTCACCCATATCCGACCACTTTGACGTTGATGAGTATGAGTATAGCCAAGAAGGCGAGCCGCACGTTGAAGATCAAGGGATCACTGCTCTACCGGCTAAACAAGTAAAGAGGAGGAGTAGTGTTACTAAGCTGGTGGAAAAGGTACTCTCCAAACTTGACGGGCTGGGGCTGACGAAGAAGCTCAAGGAGGAACGGAGGAGTAACAAGAAGAAGCAAAGTTGGCGGGAGCATGGGTATCATGATTGACAATTAAAAATTGGATTTGAAAACGTACTTTCAGGATCTACTTTGCTCACAGTGATGTTTGGTCAGCTAACAGGAAAACAGGATGTTGCTGAGTGAGTATGCGTGCGAGTGAGTGGAAATGACTCATTGAGGCTTGAGGTGGCTGCGCCGAGGATAGCTTGGCACGTGACTTGGTGGTCGCCAATACTCCCTGGGCCAGTAAGTCGACTAATTTGCCTATATAAGATTCGAATGCCTGGATGCATCAATTGGCCAGAGCAAAGCCGATCGCATTCGCGCCTTCATACGAGACGTACTATCCTTCTTTCTCAGCCGAGAGCCACCTATCTCTTCTCCACACCCCCTTCGCAACAAACAACTACACAGACAACCTCAGAGATGACATCGGAAGCGCGGACAGCGTTTCCTTGCAACGCATGTTCTCTTTCTTTCACAAGCAGTGCGCTACAGCGTGCACACATGCATCAACCCTGGCAGTAAGATCATCCCGAGCATCTAGACACGGAAGTGGTCGGACTGACGTTCTGTGACAGTATCCACAATCTCAAAAGGCGCATTTCTGAACTTCCAGCTTTATCCGAGCAAGACTTTGGGATGCTAGAAGGTAAGAGCGAGGATGACACGCAACAACCGAGAAAGAACGACGATGCTCTGATACGGAGACCACGAGTAGTCTCACACACCGCCAGCGGAAGCGATATTAACTCCAAACCACCGAGAGCAGATACACAAGAGGAATATTCCAATACTTCGTCCTCGACAAGATGTCTCTTCTGCCCCTCTTCCTCTCCCACTCCGATCACAAATCTAGACCACATGTCAACCCAGCACAGCCTTTTCGTACCCGCGCCTTCGCGACTCTACTCTTTAGAGTCTCTTCTCTCGTATCTGGCCGTTCTGGTTTACGAATACCACGAGTGTCTCTACTGTGGACAAGAAAAAGGAAGTGTAGATGCTGTGCAGACGCATATGCGGGACAAAGGGCACTGTATGATTGAGATGTCGGATTTAGTCAGGTTTTGGGACGCGGAGATGAAGGAGGGGGGTAGCGAGGGTTGGAATTACAAGATGGAGGCCAAGACGCATCTACCGTCTGGATTGGCCATTTACCCCCGGCGTAGCAATAGCGCAGATGATGTGTCATCAGAAGCTGCGAACCCCAGTTTCCCACGTTCGCAGCGCCGCGATTCAAGACACCGAAGATTAAATCCCGCGGCTACTTCCGCCGAGTCTTCACCCTCCCAACAGCCTCCTGCCACACAGTCGCAGCCCGGTCATCTATCTTCATACCATACCAGCAACGATCCCCACCGCAACCTCACTAGCACCCCGCGTAAGGCCAAAGGTCTGATCGGCCTATCCGACCAACAACTCCGCACTCTTCAGATAGTGGATAGGAGGAGGAAGAGCAGAGAGGAGAGTGCAAAAGCTAAAGGAAGGTATGCGTCTCAACAGCAGCCAGTCAAGACTATGTATTACAAGACCGAGAACCCTGTGTATCAGGCCGGATGATCAGATGGGGGATAGATGTATGGATTGTGATGATTCTACACGCAGTAGGTTGAGGACTACAATCGTGCTGGCAACTGCGTGATGAAATGTTGAGTTGACCTAGGAGGCATTCGCTAAGGATACGAGGGTTGTGTGCAGTCGTTCGACATGTATGTAGACTGCAAGAGGTATGATCAAGAGCGATGTTGGAAGATCATGGTGTGTTGAAGGGTGCTAGGCTTACTTGTTCATTGAGTTGTTTCGTCTACCGTATGGCTGATCTGGGAGCTATTCACCAAATGTGTAGAGCAACATACATGTCGCCGTAAGCCTATGTAGTCGGCAACCAGACTCGTGATAAGCTATTTGAGTACTGAGAGTACGCTGAAGTAAGCAAAGCATACCCAGATGTCTACATCCCAAACCCAGCCCTCTTCACCCACAAGTAATCTCAAGCACCTAAAGCATCTTGAGGAGTGGCAGGAATACTCGTCTCTATACGTTTTTCCAGTCATACCACGATGTCAGATCCACACTTCCCACAGCCTTAGCACCACCTTCCTCCTTTACCATGTCATCCAGACCCTTCTCGAACCCCTCACCCGGCTCTTCAACCCCAGACACCTTGAGCTCCTCGCCACTCTCAGCATCTTCCGTGTAATCATCCTTAGTACCATCCTTCTCATCCAATACCCTCACACCAGGCATCCCCTCGATCAGCCCCTCCAGCAACGCATTCCCAGCACACACCTTCTTAATCCTACTGTCGTCATAATCGAACAACGGCGGCAGTACACGTTTATACACAAACGGCACATCGCCCTGCGGTACCGACGGCGTAGTCTTCTTCTTTCCCCTCTTTCTCTTCTTAGTCAACACCTTCTGCGCCATCTCATTCATCTGATCTTGACCGCCCTGGAAGCAGAAGTCGAACAAGGCGCGTGTCGGGGGAGGTACTTGGGCCCAATCTGGACATGCATTGCGTGCTTCGGCGAGGTACGTAGTCAGCTTCGCTCGGACATACTCGTTGCGTGCGTCGCCGCTGAGGACGATGAAATCGTCGGGATTGGATTTCAGCATGTGGACGAAGGCGAGCTGGTGTTTTTTGGGATGCGTGGGATCGAACTGGGCGCCGAGACTGGGGTGCTGGACGTATTCCATGCAGGCTAGTGTGTAGGCCTGTAGAACGGCGTTAGTGAAGTGATAGCCTAAGGTCTCGAGAAGACATACCGCCATCATGGGTGTGTCAGTCTTGTTGAGCAGTGACACCAGATTGACCAATAGCCGAACACGCGTTTGCTTGAGGTAGCGGGAGAAGCACATATGACGATTGACGTTGGAAGTGAAGTAGGCGAGTATGGTTTGAACTGGCCATTCTGACATGGGGGTGAACGATTGCATTGCCCGCGCGATAGCGCCGCGGTGCTTGAGCTGACCGGCAAATGTCGCGCCTTCTGCGACAGCAGCGCTATGGATTCGTTAGTATGAACAAGTTGTTGAATGGACTTATGAACACGGAATAAGACTTACACTTCATAGGGAAAGTACTGTTGCTGCGGGGAAGGAGAGAGAATGGTTTCGAGCGGTAGCGTCTGCTGGGCGCGGAGGCCGTTAGGTACCCTGTCGGTCTTGCGGCGGAGAAGCTCTTCAAGCGCCGTCATATCTTCAGGTGTCAAGTTCTGCGACATCTTCTCGACATCTTCGGTGTTTTCGTCCATGTTGGTGGCGGAGTGTAAGCGGACAGTGTCGATCGCAGTGAATAGAACGCGGAGAGCGCACTTTACGCGACTGACTAAAACCTTAGGAGAGTAAATGACGTGATGGAGCAAACGTTTGGTGGAGTCACGGGATTAAATTGGACAGAGTCCATCGGGAAAGCGGAGAACCCGGGCTACGCGGTTGTAAAATGCGACGACGCGCCTCGACATTGGATCGGCAGCGCGATAGAATGAATGTGAGATGAAGATGAAAATGATCGAAGTAGATATGATTTACACGCAACTCTTCCAGCATATGTGCTTCGTTCGTGACTGTGGCGGTTGAAATTGACTCTTAGCAAGCTAAACAGCAAACGAAATCTGCCCACCCAGTACCGTGAAGATCTACCGCCAACCTAGATATCTAAACCTACTGTCGCCGTGTATGTATCGACGCCAATTCTATATCCAATAGTCTGTTCCTTGTCCAGACAGTGTTGTAGAGAACTAAAATGCTGTTCAATCGAAGTTCAGTGTGACAACGTCACCCAAGCGGGAAAGATCGACCTCCGGCATAGTCAGGACATGCAAGACAGGTCGCGCTGGGCCCTCAACCGGTGTGACATCCATTCCGATGTCATTGGATACCTTCAAGCCATCGAGCCCATCAGCGATGTCGTCCACAACCAAGATATCGACAGTCTCGTAGGTACGGAAACCCTGCATAGCCTTCAAGAGTCCCGTCAAGATGCGATAGTCGGCGGTGTAGGGCTGGTACTTGGTCACATCGAGCTCGATGACAGCGGTAGGACTGACGCCGGGAATACTATCCGGTTTGTCATCCTTAACGATGTGTTCAGCTTCGAAGAACTCGATGAGAGCCGGTCCAATCTCAGCCAGCTTCTGGTGACGGACGTTTTGGGGATCGAAATTGGCTTCAATTGACTTCCAGGACTCGACTAGCTGACGCATGTCCTTCAAGATAGCCTTGTTGCGGTTCTGCGTGCAGATATCGAAGTCTTTGGGGTTTTGTAGCAGCTCGTGGATGAAACGCTCGCGATAATGTGTTGGCTTGAAGCCGCGATCTTGGATGCGCTTGTTTCCGTTCTCTTCAGCACAGGCGAGCATGTAGACCTTCTGGACGTTCGTGGCCCTGTTCTCGTATTTGGCGTACGCGGCGAGGTAAAGGCGAGCGCGGGTCTGTCGAAAGTAGCTTGAGAAGCTGATGTTGTCGTTGCTGTTGCTGCAGAAGTAGGCCAAGGCGGTCTCAAAGCCCCATTGGCCCATCGGGACGCGGTTCTTGATGTTGTACTTCACTTCTCCGCGACGGAAAAGCACGCCTGCTAAGGTGGCGCCCATGTTGACTTGCATGGCAAGCGGATGACTAGCAGGAATTGTCAGCGCTCTCCACGACCACATCTCGGGGAATGCGATAATGCTTACTCTTGATAGGGATACATGTTGTTGACGCCATTCGCAGCGAGGATCTGGTCGAGCGTGATATTAGGATAGAGAGCCGGTGAGACCTTGATGAGTTTGCGGCGAAGTACCTCACGCAGAAGCTGGTACTCAGAAGGCTCGCCGACACGTCTGACAAGGGCTGCAGGGTTAGACATCTCCAGGAATAGATGTTGTAGGAAGCTAGCAGGGTGTGTTGGGGGGAAAGGTGTCGCGGAGGATATTTGTTCCCAGAAGATACAGGCTAGCGGGAACACTAAGGTAGAGAGATGGTAGGAAGGTGAGTGACCGGGTAGTCGGCAGGTGAGAGGGTGGGTAACATAGTGAAGGGAACACGGTAGCTGCCTATTTGAGCTGCCTTCACTTCGCTTAGCTGGGCAAAAAGAAAGGGCAAAAAAGAAGATACACCGGTGTCTTGTTCCCAGATCCATATCTAGGGTGTATGTATTGGTTTTAAGAACTCCGAAGAGTAATGAGGTAAGGTAGGGTTTAATGCCCAGGTCCTGACTTGAGAGAGAAACACGTATTTCTGCTCCCAGGTCACCACTCAGCCCAAAGAATGCAACTCGGTGTTGCAAACTAAGGGCTGAGTGGTTGGACCTGGGCTCGAACGTGGATAGTCAGCGAGGTTTTTCATTTTGGGGGGGACACTTAACTAATGGTGTATACCAACCTGCGACACGAGGCAGGCTTTACGGAATAATTGTATTGCTCTCAAACTGTAGCTATTATATACCCAAGGTAAGTACAGTTTCCTATATCCAGATGCAAATTTGGGATTGCTGTGTTGAGAAATGTGCGTGGTAAGTGGGCGCGACTCCGCTCTCACTCACTGCAAACGACCCCACAATAGCGGTATGAGCGCGGCTGCCTGATGTGAAGCGGGAGGCGCACGACCTGGCTTGAACAACTCCGTCCTGTAATGTATGCGCTGTTTCCCATCGTCCGTCGCCATGTGACGCGCGACCAAGGCGTCGCTCCCGTGCTCTTGAAACCAGCCGTGGGGCTCTCCCAAAACCCCGTCAAATGGAGATTGTATCAGTAGCAGCCGAACGGATATCGTAGGCGATGAATGTCATGTATGGGTCAGGTGAGGCTTGAGGAAAAGGGATTGACGCTGAGATTTGCTTGCGACGAGGCTCATGGATTTGCGAATCCTAATCGAGAGTTAAGAAAGCAGACGGCTCACTTCGCAATGATTTGATAAAGACATAAAGTAATGAGGCAATGCATGATATAAAGAAATGATGATAGCCGATGCGAAGACCTGTTAGAGTGACTTCCTTGGTCAGATAACGCGTATCATCACGGGCATTTAGACAATAGCAACACAATAGGGAGACGTGACAACAGTGATAGAGACAAGCTCTAGCATATCGATGAGGCATGAAAGAGATTCGCAAGATAATTTTGGGTGAGAGACACCAAGAAGATAGATTTTCGCGATATATGGAGTGGACGAGGATGATGCGGTGAGGTTTGAAGCTCTGAGGTTGTGAAGAGACGCGTCAAACTTCGCGCACTACGCCACTTCGGGAATGGCAGCCCACACCCTCCACGTGCACCTTCCACGAACACTTCAATCAACTTTACCCTCACTATTGTCATCACTATGGGAGCTACGTCCCGGTACAATGTGATTCTGTGGGCTCTTCTGACTTCTCAACTTACTTCAGCTCCTTTGCAACCTTCCAATACAATCAGTCATCTGCTCCCTGTTCTAAAGCACACGCGTTAAGATAGTCCTGCCAAATCCCATGTTCCCGTCGACTAGTCTGGTAGGAGTAGCTAATGTATGGAGCTGGATCAATGATCCTTTGCATATTGTCTGCAATGTACTGATGGCCGAAAACTGCGGAATGACCGGCTTGAACGGCCGACCCGGCAGAGGCCACCTGAAGTTGCCACGCATGTGCTATTGAGGCTTACTCTGAGAGATTACAGGATCTTGATTACAGCGTCAGCCAACATATTGTGGCGGTTGGCATGAACCCAACAGTGCCGCAGCTCGTAAGTGCTGAGATGGGCCATGAGACTTCGAGAAAGCCTGTGGGGGTCATGATGACGCATGTAGTCTAGCGTCTTAGCGCCCCTGTCGACGCGTCTCCCAGCCTCCGATTCCTCGACATCTCCCGACCGTCATCATGATAGCTAACGCGCTCGCGCGATGGCGTCTGACTTCTAGTGTTGTCGCAGCCGCGACTACATCATGACGCCCCCGTCTCGGACAATCGCTCTCTAGCAGGCAATCGTATTTCTGTCAGGGACAGCGCATACGCCAACTCGCCCAAGCGTGAAGAGGACGCGTCGAATTTGAACCATAACCTTAACCATAGGCCGACTATCCGTCTCTTTCGACCCAGGGCGCGGCTCAGCCTACCGCAGAGATTTGTCATCAGATCTTTGTGTGCGGCCAGGACCCTCAGTAGCGATACATACATACTTATGCATACTAGGCCATGTTTTACTCCCGATATGCGCTTTCTACTAAGCTCAAGAGCTGTTCGCGGTTGACATAGTATTGCTGAACTACCAAACAGGCTACTACAATCTGTAGCGACAGTGCACGGCAGACATCATAATCAAATGGAAAATGTGGAAAGACTTGCGACGGCCAATGAGACTCAGTATGGATGGGTAGAGAGACCAGCCACCAAAATCTCACCTCCAGAAATCATCGCCACCAACACCGCCAATGCTCTCCATGATACCCCGTGTCATCTTTCGGTCGTAGGGAAATCCGCGTAGATCACAGTTGGCATCAGCAATGTCAATCGTTAGTCATACTTCTTTGTTCCATGGATGTCTTTCCCACGATAGTCACGTATACGCCGCGCCCAAGCCAAGATCAAGACTACCTGCCCTCTCAAAGCATGGACTATCGTCAGTTAGTGTCAACAGCCCTGACATGCAGGGTCTTTGTTGCTATCGTCGCATTCGGGCAATGGACGGCGCGGGATTATTCTGGGCATCGAACCGCTGTAGCACACTCGTGGCTGCTTGGCCAACTTGTGACGGGATGCCTTGTATCCTACTACGAAGTATAAGAGCAGCAATCCGCTGGAGATGGGCCTGTACAACACCTTTCGCCCTCCAGCCCAGACAACGAAAGTGTCCGATCGATTCCTTCCAAACATGTATTTTTCCACCTCTGCTCTTCTCTCAGGCATCGCTCTGGCTGCCACAGCTGCCGCGTACGACAGCGTTACCTTCACAACATGGAACTGTACTGAGTGCACCCCGGTGCCGGGCACGTTCTGTTCTGTCAACACCCGATCCAACCTTCCACCGGACCTTTGCATCACCATGTGGAATGGAAGCACCACCATCAAGACTTACGACGCAACTATCCCGTCTTGCCAAGGTACTGAAGCCATATACTTCCCCGTCCACCCATCTTCGAGCTAACGTATTGTGCAGTCAATCTCTACCCCGAGTTCAACTGCGGAGGAACGCCGGAGGTGCACAAGGACAACGGCGGGGTTTGCGAAAGCAAGATTCCATCGAACAGCTTCAAGATCACATGTTGATCTGCCTGGTTTCTCTAATCTAGAGTTGCGTACATGGTAGCCATAGTCTAGGCTTCTTCGTCAGCATCGTGCGATACTTCTTGCGTCTTCTTCTTTCATCACCGCTCGCTGTTCGTTCAACACATGACAGGAGAGGCTTATATATATCTACAATGCAGGGCGTCTCCAATAACCTTGCGCGCATTTGATTCGAGGAGAACATCTCTACTCATATTGACGGAGCGTTTCTCAAGCAATCTTATTCGGAATCCCTTGCGACGTGATCATGGAAGGCTGCCACGAGGGTAAATAGATCGATGTGTTGATTGTAGCGCGAAATAACAGCCACGATCTAGCCAACCCACGTGCACAACATATTTCTACTTATTAACAAAACAGTAGTGAGACCAACACACGGGCAGGACTAGTCGCCTCGAGCCGACGCTTGCTAAGAGAGAGATGTAAGATTGAAGTGGCAAGTCGAAAGTCGTGTATGCTTACTGTAAATACGCCCGCTTACCAACAGCTAGCCGTGTGTACCGCGTGGCCTGTCCTCAATTGTACTAAAAACCAACAAAGTCTCTCTTCATGCTATCATCGCCATGAGATGGCTTACCAGAGCGTGCGTGCGTACGCGTTTTCAGTCATGAGACGAGTCCATAGCGAGCATCAGCATTCTCACAGGGCAATAGTATCAGTAAGATGTTATCGGTTGGCAGGATAACCGGATCATGTAATCCGCAACCTCATGATTTGTATAAGAATGCATTACTGTGAGCTCGAGAATCATGTTCTCTCCCACCAATTCTTCTCCTAAACACCAAATATTATTCCTCTCCTCGACGCCAAAACTTCCCACTTTCTTCAACATGCAGTTCTCCACCACCTTCCTTGCCCTCTGCTCGGCCTTCGTAGCATCCAGCGCCGCACAAGGCACGCTATCGTTCACGATCTCGACGTGCGCCGCCTGCAGCACCGCATCTGGATGTCTGATTGAGGGCTCTACCAACCTCCCCGCCAACAGGTGCATCAGCATCTACGACGGCAATAAGAGTCTCATCATTACCGAAGCTGCGAACCCTAACTGCAAGAGTAAGTTCCTATAGCACAAAACCAAATTCGCTTTCGCTAACTTCTGCTAACAGTCAATCTTCACACTTCTTTCGACTGCACCGATGAAGCCCCAGAGGTGTTCAGCGAAGTTGGTGTTTGCGAGGCGTATGGCCCTAAGAACTCGTACAAGATCACCTGCTAGACGGAAATGAGGAGCTGAGAGGGTTACAGGTGGTGGATGGCAGTAGTAGATGGTGGCCGGCAACGGCAATGACGGATAATGGATCACAGTCTTTACCTCTAGAACCTTTGCTTCTTAGATGAAGTGACGCTGCTTCTTGTTAGTTCAACACATAACAAGAGTGAGCCGAACTCATTCAAACTACACTATACACACTGTTTCGGCCTTGGTCGAATCCCCAGTGACGATGAAGAGTTGAGGAATGTGATTATAATGCTACCTTGGGCATATAAGGCCCGGCACCCGCTTCCCGGCGAGTGAACTATCAAACAGTAAGAAACCAAGTAGTGACAAATCCCTATGAAATGATCAGAGATTTTACATCTCAATGAGGAACTGCAGATCTCTCCTTATGGAAATTTGGTAGCGCAGGAAGTTACCTGCCAGCTTCCAAGCCATTCATCTATACACCTCCGCCAACCTCCACCAGAATTTTGACCTGGTTGTCCTTGTCGTTGATGAGACTCTTGAAGCCCTTCTCTTCAACTTCGGTAAGAGCAATTCTCTGGGTGATCATCTCTTTCGGGTCCATGTCTCCCCTGCTCAGCGCATCAATCACTTCCTGAAAGTCGCCAATCTCATAAGTCGCAATGCCCATGTAGGTCCTCTCCTTGAAGTTGAAGTCGTTGGTGAAGATCGTGCAAGGCTTCTCCCATATGGCAATGTTGACGATGCAGCCTCGAGCGCGGGTGGCATGTACCGCCTGGTTGAGAGCAGCCTGGACGCCGGCACAGTCGTAGACTACATGTACACCCTTGCCGCCGGTGAGTTCGCGACAGCGCTTGGCAAGGTCTTCCTTGGTGGGGTCGATGATGTAGTGCGCTCCGAACTTTCTTGCAAACTCCTGTCTCTTTCTGCTCACTTCTGAGACTATGATCCGATCGCAGCCTTTAGCCTTCAGGGCTAGGATTGTTGATATACCGATGGGCCCACCTCCCAAAACCAATGCGACGTCATCTTTCTTGAAGGGACTGATCTTGACTGCGTGCCAACCGACAGCGAGGGGCTCAACGAGCGCACCAATCTCGAGTGGAACATTGTCAGGGAGATGATATAGGGTAGAGGTTGGGACGACGATGTGATCCGCAAGACCACCGCCCCAACCAGACAGGCCGATGAAGCCGTTGGACCAGCAGCAATTTTGCAGACCTTCCTCGCAGGCGCCGCAGGTATCGTCGTAGATGATGGGCTGAATGACGACCCTGTCGCCGGCTTTGTAGTCAGTAACACCTTCGCCAACTTCCTCTACTGTGCCACTGAATTCATGGCCGAAGGTTAGTGGAACCGTTTCGCCGGTGATTGGGTGGGGCGTGGTAGGGCAGAGATTCGCGCCACCTAGGTGCTCAGCTATGGACCGCTTGTTCGTCATTCAAGTACATACCCAAATATTCGTGGAGGTATAAAGCAACGTCAGTCTCGCTGTCTCGATTCCTGCAATTGGGTCCATACCTGATCCGCAAATTCCCACCCATGCCGGTTTTACCTTGACTTGCCCTGCTTTGACTTGGGGTATCGGAATCCTCTCGTATCGCAGGTCATGTTGCCCATGGAACCGCAGCGCGTTCATCGAGTTGTCATCTGCCTCGGCGGCCATTATGATCGAATTGGTTTCACACTATTACAAGCGTATATGAGAGTGACTTGAAAGATGGCGGAGGACAAGAGAAGGACAGAAGTACTTGGTCAAGGTGGCGCAGGTAGTTTGGCTCCTTCCATGGCCGACAAACAGACGTCGCGCTCATTTCCCCGGACTCGGTCAGTCCGTTGGCTTCGGTCTGTTCCTACTGGCAAGCGCATGTGTGCACCTGCTGCCCAAGATCACGGAATGCCCAAAAGGGTAAGCCTCCGGTTCATCACCCCGCATTCACGATGCGGGGTACCAGATGGCATGGCAAATGGCCGGAAGCTTGACAACGCGAACCGATTTGCAGTGGAGGTACCAAGTTCTGGACGAGCTCATCCATATCAGCTCGGCTCATGTACATGCCGTTGTGGGAGTACTTAGGGGTATAAGAGCCGCGTGCCACTGAGGACTAGCTTGGTGCGCCCACGTACAGAATCCTGGACTCGCAGCCTGTCCTCCTGGATGCGCAATCATTGGTCGACGCTACATGAACCGACAAAAGAAAAACAAATTACAATTATGCCTACCGATGAGAGATGAAGGGCATAGGGGGGGCGAGGCCCGGGTTATGACGTCGGCAGCTAAAGCATGACGCTCGGCACTCGGAACAGCTACGTCGTCGTACTTTCCCCGTTTGGATCGAGCTCGGAAAATCTGTCATCGCCTTCGCTGAATTCGCCGGCGCTCGAATGCGACATTCTTACAAACAATATCTCGACTTGTAACGAAGACGACAGGAGTTATACAAGCGCATTGACGAACCCCCTGTTACTCGGTACGGTCGGAACGACCAGACGCGTATAGCGTGGATTAGCCAGCGCGACAGGGCATGGTTTGCGATCTAGCCCTCGAGACCGTTGGCAGAACTCCGATGTGACGGATAAAGTCGCGATCATTGACGCGTCAGTGACGGTCAAGAAAAAGGTACAATGCGCGCCATAGCGACAACGCGCTCGTGGCTGTAGGCCTACCCAATCAGGGAGCTGCAGGAGCCTCAACGGCGGGTACCCTCTCGTTCTCGTCCACTGTTATGACCTCACTGGACGAGACGCCATTGTGACCGTGGGCCGACTCTAACAGCTGGCGGGGGATTGACCGATGCTTGAAATACGTGTGCATGCCCCTCAACACCTGCCCCTCCATCATCTCTCTCACCTCCCCAACAACATTTCCCATACTCCAATTCAAACTCAAACGCAACAATGCCTTACCCAGAGACTACCGACGCCTTCGCGGTGACCGACATCAAGAACTGGAGCACATTCAAGCGCCAGGAGGTCAGTCAATAAGCCAATCTTCCAATTGATAGCTGTACTAACATTTTCCCAGCTTCCCCTCAAGAAGTTTGAGGAGTACGACGTCGACATTGCCATTGACGCTTGCGGTGTCTGCGCTTCCGATGTCCACACCATCACTGGAGGATGGGGCGAGGAACTCCCTCTACCCCTCTGCGTAGGACACGAGGTTATCGGCAAGGTCGTCAAGGTCGGTGACAAGGTCACCCGAGTCAAGGTTGGAGACCGCGCCGGTATTGGTGCTCAGATTGGCGCCGACCTCACTTGCGACCAATGCAAGAACGACCAGGAGAACTACTGCCCCAACCAAGTCGACACATACGGTGCTAAGCACAACGACGGCACTGTCGCACAGGGTGGATACTCCAGCCATATTCGTGGCCACGAGTACTTTGTCTTCAAGATCCCAGACAACCTCGACACTGCCCTCGCAGCGCCCATGCTGTGCGCTGGTCTCACCACATACTCGCCCTTGAAGAGGTTAGGAGCCGGCCCCGGCAAGAAGGTCGGTATCATCGGACTCGGAGGACTTGGCCACTTCGGTGTCCTTTGGTCGGTAGCTATGGGCGCCGACACCTATGTCATCTCGCACTCTCCCAACAAGAAGGAGGACGCGATGAAGATGGGTGCTAAGGACTTCATTGTCACCAAGGACAAGGGCTGGGCTGAGCCATGGAAGTTCCAGTTCGACTTCGTCATCAACACGGCTGATGCGACTGACAAGTTCGATCTCTCGGAATACTTCTCCATCCTCAAGGTCAACGGTACCTTCCACATGGTCGGCTTCCCTGACAACCCGCTCCCTGCCATGCCCGCCCAGATCTTCGCACCCAACGGCTGCTACATGGGCGCGTCCCACATCGGAAACAGGCCCGAGATGGAGGAGATGTTCCAGCTTGCATCCAAGCAGAACATCAAGAGTTGGGTACAGGAGATCCAGCTCAGCGAAGAGGGCATCAAGGAGGCAGTCGAACGCGTGTACAAGAACGACAACGTCAAGTACAGGCTCACCCTTACTGGCTTCGACAAGGTCTTCGGCAAGAGGGCTTAGATGGCTGCAAGAGCAGTGTGGTTGCCTTCTAGTACATAATAGATATCTATGAATAATGATGAATTTTGACGAAACTATTGCGCACTTGGTGTCGTCATTCCTGCCCATCGCGCGCGCTCGCCCCACCAGATCTCAGCGCGTCGCGTAGTTTTCGCCGGCGGGGATTATCCTGCCCCAACACCACAAATACACAACCCCCACCTACTCCACGGTGCTCCTTCAATTCCCACCTAAGCCCCGATCAACTCTCCGCGATGCCGTCGGTACCGATCCATCTCCCTTGCTCCTCCGCAACATCCTCTCGCGCCGAGAACCCCCTTCCGCAGCTCCTCCACACGCCCTCGGGCCTGGCCCTCATCGAAATCCAGGGCACAATCCACTTCCCCCCGCCTGCAGCCTCCGTGGCCTCCACACAAGTCGGCAAACTCGTCTTCCCACACTACAATCCCGCCATCAACGACCCGAGCGACACGAAATGGATGAAGCGCGTCTACATGTACGTCGGCAAAGGCCAGCGCATGACGGGCGAATGCAAGAAGCTGCCCACACCGCTTGGTGTCATCCGCAGGAGGGAGAAGATAAACGTCGAGGATGTGGAGATGAGTGGGCTTGGGGACGAGGATGGTGCGAAAGATGAGGAGCTGGAGATTGTGGAGGTGGTGAAGTACAAGATTGTGTTTTCGGCGCGCCCGGAACCTATTAGTGGCGTCGCTGAGGTGGACTGAGGAGAGGGAGGATGATGCAGATGCTTTCGTCCAGGTCTAAACGCCGGGATGGCCACTCGTGGTACACGCATAGCCTTCGAGCGATCGCGCAACGAACAAGAGCAAGCCTACGCACACGCGACGAGCCTCACATCATACGCGCGAGCCGGTGACTGGATGGAGTGCCCGTGTCGCACTGTCGCGAAACAATACGATATCATACTGCCACACTTCGCGCCTAGACTGTGGGAGGGCGACCAGACCGACTGTTCAGACTTCGAGAAGGACTTCCGAGCAAGCCTTTGCTGTACGCGATATGAGCTGTACCCGGATTTACAGGCTCGGTCGGCAATCCTTGCATCGGCTGCAGTCACAAGGATCGGGCGTTAGCCACTTGGACACCAGTATATTGATTAAGCAATTTGGCGTCGCACAAGCATATTGCATTTCAGCCTCGCTCCCGGGTTTTGGTGCTCGCTTGTCGCCCTAGGGTGCTTTAACCACTTTACGCGGCGACCACGGTCCGGATCATATCCAGCACGAGCACTATATCTGGCATCATGTGGTAGCGTTCTGGAATGAAGATGGAAGATATATGGTAGCAGAATTGTACTTCAAAACGGTCTATCCTCGAGAAGACAAACAGTTAGCTATCCACCTGAAGCAGTTGCTATACCTTGCCTCATCATGCGTTGCTCGATCACGACTCTGCTAGCGTTGCTAGCGAGCACTACTTATGCGGCTGTAGGAGATTGGCAGCAATGTATGCTTACCACAAAGTAGTCAGGGATCATTTGCTAATGGAAGACTAGGTGGCGGTACAAACTGGTCTGGAGAGACAACATGCAGCTCAAGTGCTAGCTGCGTCAAGATCAAGTGAGACTGAATCGCATCACAGTCTCATACATCGATGCTAACTTCTCAGTGACTACTACTCCCAATGCCAACCTGGTGCTGCACCTGCACCTACACCTACATCTGCATCTACACTCTCAACCGTGCCGATACCAACATCTACAACACTCTCCCCAGGTGCACCAACCACCACCAGCACCCCCGCAGGCACCGGACCCGGCAAGACACTCCAAAGCGGCTACTACTGGATCCGCGGCGTCGCAGCCCCCAACTTCCACAAATACTTCCAAACGAACCCTGTCTACTCGACTGGCCCCGCCCTCCTCGGCGACTACACAACAGCAGGCCAGTTCCAGGTCGTCAGCGGCCAGCTGGTTCAACTCGTCTCCGCACCTGGCGAACCCGTCAAGCTTCTCTACGCCGTGGTGTCTGAGGAGCGCTCGATTAACGGCATGTCGCTCGCTGTGAGCTTCTCGGAGAGCAAGAACACGTACGGTACGTTTGCGTGGGGTGGCGATGATCTTCAGTGGAGTGTGGCGGGTGTTAATCGGCCGAATAAGAGTGCGTGGTATGTGTGCACGGGGCAGAAGTTGTATATCAATTTGGGGAATTATTTGTATCAGACGCCGAGTGGGTGCGCTGATCAGACTGTGCATTATTATAACGATAAGACGGCGAACAACTAGGGCATGCATGCGTGTGGTTGAAGAGACTTTGACAGCAGAGCGGAGAAGAGTTGGGAGCGAGATAGATCAATTGGTTTAGTAAACTACCGATCCAGACAAGAAAACCATGACTCATAAGAGCTCATGGCTAACTCAGTCGAATCTCCGTGTACCATTCAGTACCAATGCAGTGCTTTTGTTCTATGCCGGACCTTTTCCTTCCCCAGGTCTTCTCTGTCATCTGCTCAACCTAGCAGAGGTAGCCAACGACATCGCCGACAGTGGCGCAGTTGGCCATGAGGGGGTAATCGCACTGGCTACCATTGTTACCAGCCTCGCAGCGGAAGAGCGGGCAGGTGGAGTCGTAGGGACCACCGATCTGGCGGACGACGTCGGTGAAAGGGTTTCCGTTCATGCAAGAAAGTTGGTACCTATAGAGGTGTTAGCATGGAATTTAGGAAGGCGTGAGGTCGGTACGAAGAGGCAGTAAAGGTTTGGGGAAGACAGATCTTGGTGAAAGGAAGAGAGAAGAGAGATCGATTTACCAGATCTTGTGATCTTCCTTAGCCCAGGTCATCTGGTATTGATAGACCGTCTGCCAATCGGCTGGCTTGCGAGCGACCTTGACTGTTCCCAAAAATTAGCAATACTCCTCATCGAGATGTCCCTCACCTCCGCACTTTTCACTTACCAGAGTGTCCACAGCTATCCTCAAGAATAGGCACAGGCGTGATGAACTTCTGGCCCGCGCTGACCTTGACTTCCTCCGTGTCCTTGGCGCTCATCGGACCGCAGTTCTCGCCCTGGCCCATACGCGACCCGGGTTCGGCGGCGACGCCCTGGCGGACCCAGACATCGAAGCCGCAGTTGTTGTTGAGAATCAGGTGGATGGAAGGAGCGCTGTCGGGGAAGTTGGGAATGACGGTCGCGTTGGTGAGGGAAAGAGCCGAGACGAGGGTCAAGAAAAGAACGGTGAGGATGTACATGATGGTGAGCTTTTGGGGGTTGACGAGAAGCTGTATGAGCGTGTTTTGCTTGACGCTGGATGGGGTTGGAGAGAGAAAGATTTTGTTGGGTGGAGGGGCAGTTATACTCGAAATTTTCCTTTGAAGTGAGAGGTGAAGGTGAGGAAGGAGCGGAGGGGCGCTATTTCCCGAAAGATACAGTCCAAGTTTTGCGAGGTGAAGGTGAGGAAGGTGGGTGACCTAGCCGGGACGAGACCGCAGTCTGAGTCAAAGGCGCACTCTGCTTATTCCGAGCAACACGGAGAGCTTTTTGTGTGCCTCGTTCCATCTCTTTATCACCTTAGCAGTGCATTTTGAGCAACACCGATCGAGTTGCGGAGATGATGCCAAGCTCGGAGTCAAAGACGGTGAGCGATCGAGTGTCAAAAGTCGAACCCGGACATGCAGTGTTCAATGGACGGTCGAGATACATCCGCGGTTAAACGATGAACCAAGGGACTCATCTCGATGAGTCGAAGCGGTGCAAACACGCTGGCATCGATGAGGCGTTTCTAACTAATTGCGGAGGAAGTGTGGAATGAAACGCATGATCTATGTATTGTTTTCGTTCGAGCCGAGCAAGATGAGCGTATGAGACTGCCGTCCCAAGAGATTCGATGGGGAGTACTATTCAATGGGTTGAGCGATTGAAGGACCATGCACTTTTGTCGTTCTCAAGTCATTTCGGTGGTTGGACAGGTCATGCGTGAGGCGTCTTTGACTTTGTGGTTAACTCCATATGCTTGGTACAGCCTATACGTGGCAAGCTTCTCCACCACGAAAAATGCAGTAATGAACTCAATGATCACTGTGAGTGCAGGACAAAGAGAATGTGCATGGTGATAGGTTATTGATGATTAATAAATGAACACCGGAGTGTCTCGCAGCATATCTATCTAGCTCATGTTGCGCATTTGCCAAATGCCATACAAAAGCCCTCTGATATCCAAGTCTATATAGTTCGCGAACACTCAATCAACATCCTCGACTCCAAGTCAACAACGACCGTCATACCCGCCAACCTAATCCAGCCTACCACAAAGCACTCCGACAACGCTACCGATAGTAGCGCAGACAGGCTGGATCGGCCAGTCGCATCCATGGACCGGGTCTTTACCGTACTGGCCAGGCGCGCAGTGAACGAAAGGACATGTGGGGCCGAAGCCAGCGAGGTAGCGCTCAACATCCTGGAATGGCGCACCGTCCTCGGCAGAGAGGTTATACCACATACGGCCGTCATGGGGGTCCAGGGAGTACTCGATCTGGTAGACGTTGCGATCCTCGGGATGGTAGGCGACCTTGACTGGGTGTGTATTAGCAGGAGCAATTGCAGGTAATGAGAAAGATTAGGAGATGAAATAGGAAACACGTACTGTTGTGACCACACTGGTTCAGCTGACACGGGAAGGGCGCCTTGTACCTATGGCCTGGTAGTACTTCCACCATCTGGGTCTCCCCAGCATGGTCGCAGGGCACCCCAAAGGAGTTGTTGGCAGCGATAGATAGACGAGCCCAGACTGAGAAGGGACAGTGATTCCGAAGTTCACCTCGAATCTGAGGAATGTCTGGGTCACCCATGCCGATCCAACTAGGCACGGATATAGACGCCATCGAGGAGCCGGGCTCGATCAGTGAGGACATGAAGTGCTCAGGGGAGAAAACATGGGTCCAGTCCTTGGACATGTCTTGGGTCTTGAAATCAGTCGGAGCGGCGTTGGTAAACACAGTAAGGAAGCTGAGTGCAACTATCCACGATTAGTCGAGCTTGAAGACTTCATGGGGCAACTTACCAGCGAAGTAACTGGAGGAATGCATCGTGTCGATGATAGGTAGATCGGAGAGGATCTAGGGGATCTGATATGTGAGAAAGGGAGATAAGATCGAGTACTGTATATAGGAATAGCTTTCGGGAGAAATCTCTGGTCAGGGAAGTCGGAGCTGGTGTAGAAGAGAAGGAACGAAGAAGTTCGCAGCTTATATGCGCCAATGAGTGCACGCTACTGGCACTGTTACAGCGCGCTCTTACCGTCATAGCGACCAAAGACCCAGGTGACTCTTGCGATAATCGCACGTGTGAAGCAGGAGGCGGTGTTAGCTGGCGGAATGACGAAAAGAAGCCAAGGAACCGAGAGCGTTCGTCGCGGAAACGAGTGAGCAGGAAACGAAAGGCGATAAAGGCCATTTTGAGTTAGGTAAAGAGCACGTTCTTTGATCACGGGTGCCAAGTGGTCTCGAATATTGGGTGTTCGTTTGATATTACCCACAAGCGGCATGTTCTGTGAGCAAGTTACCAGCCCCGTGGCAATACCGCGCCTTGATGTGATCATGAAGCCTCGAAGGTCAGACCGGTGATGACGCGCTTGAGGGGATCGTTTACCTGCACATAACATCGCGCCACGAGGAAGTCATCGATGGAGTTGGTGACGGGACTGCGCCCAGGCCCAGGCAGGCTCTATCACAACATCGTCTTCGCGGCATTCCATCCCGCAGCCCAATGCCAAAGCCTCGCATCTACTGTCTTGCCCTCTTGGTCGTACTTGACCAAGCGGTCGTACAGCTCGTCGATTGGCACCACGACCCTCTCGATGAACTCGCCATCATCCAGCGCCTGCTCGGGCTCCGCGTCGCCTTCCTTCAAGTTGACTTCAACCATGGCTAATTGCATATTCGCAGTGCTTAGACCAGGATCGGAGACGATGGTGGGGCTGATGAATGCTAGCTTGCCCTTGTATCCAGTTTCCTCGTGTAGCTCTCGTACGCTGGCCTCGCTAGGTGACTCCTTCTCGTCAACTAGACCGGCGGGAAGCTCGACGCAGACGGCATTGACGGGCGGGCGGTACTGCAGGATGATGATGGTGGAAGGTGGGCGCGAAGGGTGGCGGATGATCGTGGTGATGGCAACGGCGTCGACGCCTGCCTTGCCTCGAGTCTTGCGTGCCGCGGCTTCCCATACGCGGTCTTTGCCAGTTTGATCCTGCCATGAGATCTTTTGGAACTCGATCCACTTTGCCTCGCTGGCAGGAAGTGGCTGTAGAAGCAGACATACGAAGTCAATTTATGTTTCACGCGTATATCGTGCAGTCAGAACTTACCTCGACCTTGACGATCTTTGGATCTTGCGGCATGTTGTAGGCTGCGCAGAGTGGTGCGCGGGTGTGGAAGATGCGTGGGAGAAGGCTGTGCTGTATAGTCGAAATGCGCAGTCGCGGTATGGCTCGGTAACTGAGTTTAGCAGAGGTCGGTGATTGTTTTGCAAGTAGAGAAATTGATTGTCTGTGCATCGGTGGTGACTGTTGATGTCAAGCTGCTGCCGATTGTGGGCGCTGACGTAGAAGACTTGGAGCTAAGCCAGCCCCGCGTCCGGGCGTCGCGTTATCGCGAGGTCACGTGGACGCGTTGATTCATGGACTCTGCAGGTGCGGAATCAGCAGGCACGCTGAATGAGTAATATGATAAAGACTTCATTTCTTGTCAGATCTAGAACTCCCTATACTGCCATCCCAAGTCATTGCGCTGCCGCATGCCAACCTCTAAACAGGCGTCTTCCTCACATCCGTCAACTTAACCATCAATGGACTCTTCTCCCAAGTATTATACGCCTTCAACCCCTTGAACTCATCCTTCGGATCCCAAAGCGGCGCCCCATCCGCAAACTCAACATCAAAGTTCCACAAAAACGCACCCAGAATCAGCCTCAACTCGACGTATGTCAGATTCCTGCCAATGCATCCTCTTGGTCCAGTCGAGAAGGGTTGCGCCGCTTTCTTGGCGTCGCCAGCAAATTGTGCTTTGGACTCCGGGGTGTCGAGGAAGCGTTCAGGGATGAAAGTGTCCGGTTGCGCAAAGTTGGCAGCTGAGTGCGATGCGCCCCAGGAACTGACGCAGACAGATGTGTTCTCGGGTACGGCGTGGCCGTCGATCAGTGAACCGCCTTTGGGTACTGTACGCAAGAGACCAACGGGTACTGGAGGGAAGATACGAAGGCCCTCCTCGATGCAAGCGTTCATGTATGGTAAG